TCATAATTCCATCTTCCCAAAACGTTTTATCTTTTTGAGCAAAGAACTGTTCCAGGTGCCTTTTATAGTCTTCCAGGGAACTGAATTTTCTTCCATTAAGAGGATTTTGTAAAGACTGAAATAAATGGAAATTCAAAGGTGCAATGTCTGGTGAATACAGCAGACGAATCGGAACTTCCCAGCCCAGCTGTAACAGTTTTTGCCTGGTCATCAAAGGAACATGTGGTCTTGTGTTATCCTGATGGAAGATTCTGCGTTTTCTATTGACTAATTCCGAACGTTTTCGTCGAGTGCTGCTTTCAGTTGGTCTAATTGGGAGCAGTACTTGTTGGAATTAATCGTTTGGTTTTCTGAAAGGAGTTCTTAATAGAGGACTCCCTTCCAATCCCACCATGTATACACAACATCACCTTCTTTGGATGAAGACCGCCCTTTGGTGTGATTGGTGGTGGTTCATTTCGCTTGCCCCACAGTCTCCTCCATTCCACATTATTGTACAGCATTCACTTGTCATCGCTCGTCACAATTTGTTTAAAAATGAGACATTTTCATTACGTTTCAGTAGAGAATCACAGGCGGAAATACGGTCAAGGTTTTTTTTCACTTATGTGGAACCCAAACATCAAAGCGATTAACATAACCAAACTGGTGCAAATGATTTTCAGCACTTGATTTGGATATTTTGAGTATGTCCGCTATCTCCCGCGTGGTATAACATTGATTATTCTCAATTAATGTCTCGATTTGATCACTGTCAACTTCAACTGGTCTACCCGACTGTGGAGCATCGTCCACCGAGAAATCTCCAGCACGAGACTTCCCAAACCACTTTTGACATGTTCGATCAGTCACAGCACCTTCTCTATACACTGCACAAATCTTTTTTTACGTTTCAGTTGTGTTTTTACCTTTCTTGAGATAATAAAGCATAATATGCTGAAAATGTTGCTTTTTTTCTTCCATCTTCAATATTAAAATGGCTACACAAAAATTCACCAATTTTGATAAGTATTTTTTTAATGCACACTGATATGACAGCTGTCACAATACAATCTAACATAATTGTTTCGAATGAAGTTAAAGACAACTAAGCGCTACTAGAGCCATCTGACGGAAAAAACAACCGAACAAACTTTTTGGCCAAACCAAATAAGATGATGTGAAATGGGACACAGGGTGAGCAGGAAATCGGTTGCTGTTTTAGACAGACGGTCAGGAGAGTTCTCTCTAAGGATGTAACATTTGAGCCAAGACCTCAAGAGAGTGAGATAATTAATCTGAGACCATCAAGGAGAAGAGGCTTCCAGGTAGATGGAACAACGAATTTGAAGTCCTGCAGCAGCTACAAGCGGGAAATTTCAGTGGAAGGGCAGGAAGGCTCTAGTGGCTGGGCGAGCAGGGCAGGGGCAGGGCCCAGGGCTTAGGGTGGCCGTACATCCAGTAATGCCCTGGACTGTCTTGGCATAGTTAGTGTTGCCTCCTTTCACTCTCAGAGGTGCCCCAGGCTTAGATGATAAATTATAGTGTCACCCTATGTATAGGCCACGGTAAACAGTTGGCATTTTATTCTGAATGTGATGGGAAGCCTATGGATGGTTTTGAGCAGGAAGTGATGTGATCTGACTGACATTTTAAATGATCATGACCAAGTACTTGAAACGCTCTCTGGTCCTGTAACACCCACCCTTGGCTCTCCCCCACCTCCCGGCTCCTCCGTCTCAGTCTCCTCTGGCAGCTCTTTCTCTTCTACTCAACATCTAAATCTTGGGGTTCCTCTAGACCAGTGGTTCTCAACTGGGGGTGATTTCTCCCCCAGGGGACATTTGGTATTATCTAGAGACATTTTTAGTTGTCACGACTGGGGCAGGTACTACTGGCATGTAGTGAGTAGAGGCCAGGGATGCTGCTAAACATCCAACAATGCACAGAACAGCCCCACCGATAAAGAATTTTCCAACCCAGAATGTCAAATGGGACTGAGGTCAAGCCACCCCTATACTAGATTAGGACTGTCCAATAGAAATAGGTTGGGGAGGAGCATAAACAATTAATTTTTAAAAAAACTAAAAAGAAAACAAGTGAAGTTAATTTTAATAACATATTTTATTTAATCCAATATGTATAAAATATTATAATCTCAGGGATTCCCTGGTGGAGCAGTGGTTAAGAATCTGCCTGTCAATGCAGGGGACACGGGTTCAAGCCCTGGTCTGGCAAGATCCCACATGCCGCAGAGCAACTAAGCCCATGCACCACAACTACTGAGCCTGTGTTCTAGAGCCTGCAAGCCACAACTACTGAGCCTACGCACCACAGCTACTGAAGCCCGCGCGCCTAGAGCCCGTGCTCTGCAACAAGAGAAGCCACCGCAATGAGAAGCCTGCGCACTGCAACGAAGAGTAGCCCCTGCTCACAGCAACTAAAGAAAGCCTGCGCGCAGCAACAAAGACCCAACGCAGCCATAAGTAAATAAATTTTAAAAATATTATAATCTCAACATGTTATCAATATTAAAAATATAAATGAGAGCTCGCCCTTTCTCCCTCCCTCCCTTCCTTCCTCCCCTCCTTCCTCTCTCTCTCTTTCTTTCTTGAATCTGGTGTGTATCTCACTAACAAAGCAATTCAGTACAGGCACATTTCAAGTGCTTAGTAGCCACACGTGTCTCGTGGCTATTGTATTGATGGCACAGCTCTAGGCTCAGTACTAGATACTACAGCCTGATGTTTAAGAGCTATACAGGTAGTAAAGTCTGGTGGTTTGGCTCTGGAACCAAACTGCCTTGTTGAATTCCAGCCCTTCCATTTACCCTCTGTAGAGTTACTCCACCTCTCTGTGCCTTTTTTCTCATTTACAAAGTGGGGATGATAATAATTTTACTACTTTATAGAGTTGTTGAGAATGAAGTGAGTTAATACTTACAAAACAGTTTCAGGTGTTATAAGTGCTTACCAAACATTAGCTATTTAGCTAGGCCCCATCCACACTTTCTTTATGGGTAATCTGTCTACTCCTATAGCTTTAAGTGCCACCTATTACCTAATGACTTCCAAATTTAAATATTCAGCTTCGACCCCTCTTCTGAGCTCCTATTTATCTGTGCACTCCTTTTTGGGGGGTGGGTTTCATTGCTGCGTGCAGGCTTTCTCTAGTTGCGGTGAGTGGGGGGCTACTCTTTGTTGCAGTGCGCAGGCTTCTCATTGCGGTGGCTTCTCTTGTTGCAGAGCACGGGCTCTAGGTGTGCGGGCTTCAGTAGTTGTGGCTTGTGGGCTCTAGAGCGCAGGCTCAGTAGTTGTGGCGCATGGGTTTAGTTGCTCCACGGCATATGGGATCATCCCGGACCAGGGATCGAACCCGTGTCCCCTGCATTTGCAGGTGGATTCTCAACCACTGTGCCACCAGGGAAGTCCCTGTGCACTCCATTTTGATGACCCGGGGCATCTCACATGAACATACCTACAATGGAGCTTCATCTTCCCCTGCAAATCTGCTCCACTGCCAGTCCCTGTGACCTCAGTCACACGCAGGGCAGATCTCTGGGCAACATGGCTGATTTCTGCCTTTCCAGGGAATGCAGAGCGCACGGACTGCACAACTTCCGTGTTGGTTGAGGTTTCCACTCCACTGGTACATGTCCATGGGAGTTATGTGAGTGCTGAGGGCATTTGGAAGAAGAGAGTCCATAGGTATGGCTGGGGTGAACACCAGGGCCTCCTGAGGAAGCCCAAGCTGCAGGTTGTGACTGCGCATGCCAGCTGTGTACCCGTGCGTGTCTATACCTATGTGTCTGTATACTTGGCCACGTGGTAGTGTCTGTGGACACGTGTGGAAGGGGGCACGGGATTGTTCTGTCCCACCACCATAATCAAGTGTCCCCAAGCAGGTCTTACAGTGGGAGTGGAAGTGCGGTTATTCTCAGATGGCTAACCTCACTCTCCCAAATGAGATGGCTTCCTCTGTGTCCTGGGCGGTGAGTCAAAGGGAAAGACTTCATCTCTGACCCACCACATGGAGACCACCTTCCCATCTCCTCCTCCCAGCTCATGAAGTCCACCTTCCAGGATGCCCCCCTATTCCATTTCCTTCTGAGCTTTGGGGGGTCTCTCTGAGGCACTGGCCCATGAGGATGGCAGGTGAATCTCAGAATCTTCCTTGAGTCTCCCTCCCTAGGGGCAGGGCAGTCGGAGCCCCTACCCAGTGAACAGTTTGGTCTGTTGTAGGGGGGAGGAGGGTCCCAGGAAGGGAGGCTGGAGGGTGTCACCCACCCCCTTTTGAGGCCCTGCAACAGCTTCAGGAATGGGCCCTCTCCAGGCACTCTTGGCCTCCCAGGACAGCTCTGCCTCTGGTGAACTGGGAACTAATTCCCAGGGACACCCACGATCAAGACAGGTCTTCGGGCACCTTGGCCAGAGCTGGTCCTGCGCAGGTGGTGCAGCCACAACTTCGGCCATCCCTTTTGGGGATGGCCCCCTCACCCACATTCTACTTGCTCTGGACCCCTTTGGGAGCAGCTGTCAGAGAATTCTGGCCAAGGATCAGGCCACAGACACTCCACCGACCTCCCCAAACCAATGTGTCTGGCGCCCCCAGAACCCCAGGAGGCAGGAGCCGGCGAGGGGAACTCTAAAGAGGCTGGGGCATAGCGGAGCGGCGCCTCCACAGGCCGACAGCGCCCCGGGGGCGAACCAGGGACAGAAGGGGACCCCTTGGCTTCCCCGGGGGCCTCCAAGGGCACCTGCCCAAGGCCACCCAGCGCGCTGCGGCCGAGGGAGAGGGGCCGGACCTCCCAGCCGTCGGCGGGGCGGCGACCGCCCGGGGCCTTCCCACGGCTCGGCCAGCGCGTCACGGAGGGGGCGAGGGGACACCCGGGGCTGCGACGCAGGAAAGGGCCCTGGGAAAGGGCGGTGGCTGCGCCCCCGGGGCGGGGCCGGGGCGGGGCCCGACTTCCCGGCTCGCCGCCCGCGCTGCCGGGCAGGGACCCACGCAGCCCGAGCTCACGATGAAGCGGCCCCGGGAGCCGAGCGGCTCCGACAGCGAGTCCGACGGACCCATCGACGTGGGCCACGAGGGCGAGCTGAGGTAAGGCGGGCTGGGGGCGCGGGGCGCGCCGGGGCGAGCAGGCTGGGGAGCAAGCCGACGGGCCGGCGAGCGCGGGGCCAGTCCTGGAGCGACCAGGGTAGACGCAGGTGTGGCGCCACCGTTACGCGCACGAGTGCCCGGGATCCTGTGCGCTCTCGGCCCTTTAGGGCTCGAGATGCTGGGACGGAGGGAGAGTTCAGCTCGGGGTCTGAGGTCCGGTTGGAGATCTCTTTCTGTCCAAGTGAGGCTACTGGCGAGGACTTTTTTTTTTTAATTTATTTTTATTTAATTTATTTTTGGCTGCGTTGGGTCTTTGTTTGTTGCGCGGGGGGCTACTCTTCGTTGCGGTGCGCGGGCTTCTCATTGCGGGGCTTCCCTTTGTTGTGGAGCATGGGTTTCTAGGCGCGCGGGCTTCAGTAGTTGTGACACGTGGGCTCAGTAGTTGTGGCGAACGGGCTTAGTTGTTCCGCAGCATGTGGGATCTTCCTGGACCGGGGCTCGAACCCCTGTCCCCTGAGTTGGCAGGTGGGTGCTTAACCACTGCGCTACCAGGGAGGGCTGTTCCCTGAAGATCTTAGGAAACCCTCATGGACTGTTGGTATCACACCCCCTGGTCCTAAAGTAGAGTAGTCACTACTCTGCAGTGACTATGCAGAGTAACCATACTTAATTTTACCCTAGCTGGGGTGCACTTTTCATATAGCACACACACACACACACACACACACACACACACACACACAGAAAACTTCCAGGGGAAGAAAATCTTTGGAATTAAGGTTTTAATATTGAAGAAAATAATCGCTGACTTGCCCATGGTCCTTGCAAGGGCCTAGACTCTGATTCCAGTGCTCTTTCTACTGCACCAGTCTGCTGTCAATATCTTTTAACTCTTGGTACGTTTTCTGACCCTGCTTCAAACCTGTAGAACAAACTGAACTTGTGTAAGTTCTGTTACATCCCAGTTCTGTGAACAATCTAAGCTTCAGTTTCTTCATCTGCAAAATGGGTATAAATAATAGAACTGACCTCATAGGATACTGAGGAAAATCAGATGAGATAACCTATGTCAAGGGCTTCACACAGAGCCCAGCACGTAGCAAATGCTTAAGTAGTATCAAGCACCCAATATGTGATCCTCAGAACCCTGAAAGAGCAGCAGGGACTGACTGGGAGTCTGCAGACTTGGGTCCCAGCCCCAAATCTGCCACCAAGTTACCGTGTGACCTTGGGGCATTGCTTTCCCTTTGTGAGCCTGTTTCCTCATCAGTAAAATAAAGGAGAACAGAGAGTGGGAAAAGGAAGCCTATCTGGTCCCTCCTGGCTCATCCAAACCTGACTCTCTAGAATAGATTTGAAAGGGGGATTCAGTTCATTCTTAGGGATGTTTTTGAGGGTATTTCATACTTTCAGTGATATCCAGTTTTCTGAGACCAGGGGATCCTGCCTCAGTCACAAGTCCCAGTAAAGTGCCACCAGCTTCCAATTCTTTCTAGCTTATAATAGGAGGTAATTTCCTGTCCATGAGGTTTTGGGGTATATAATAGCATTCCCTATGCAACTTAATAGCCTTTTAAAATTGTTTAGCAGAAACTGCTCTTTAGAGAATCAACTCTCTGAGTCTGTGCCTGCTAGGAGCAGGGGAAGGGCCCAGCACCATGGGCTGGGGGGTTGGCGGGGAGGTGTCTCAAGCTCAGTGTCATTGGGTCTTCATGAATCAGAGGCATGAAATTGGTGTCAGAGAGCTAGGCTGATTGGAGCTGCCTTCTGTCCTCCAAGAATTTGCAGCCTGGTCAGTGACCTGCCAGGTCACACAAAGCCCATGGACAGGATGGAAGATGGAAGCAGAGACAGACTATGGGCTGTGAGGGCACCTGAGCAGGGAGAGGTCACTCACAACCAAAAGTGCAGGGAGGTCTTCCCTGGTGGCGCAGTGGTTGAGAGTCTGCCTGCCGATGCAGGGGACATGGGTTCGTGCCCCAGTCCGGGAAGATCCCGCATGCCGCGGAGCGGCTGGGCCCGTGAGCCACGGCCGCTGAGCCTGCGCGTCCGGAGCCTGTGCTCCGCAACCGGAGAGGCCACAGCAGTGAGAGGCCCACGTACCGGAAAAAAAAAAAAAAAAAGTGCAGGGAGAGCTTCCTGAAGGTGGTGGCATTTAGACTGTGGCATTTGGACTATGGCATAAAGGATCAGTAGGCAGTTTTTTTCCTATACATTTTGTCCTTTCAACTAGAGCCCATTTTTTTAGACTGTCTAGATTCTTAGGCGAGCAGACCCCCCCCCCCAGAGGAGAGAAGCAGTTGGACATCTGGCAGAGGCCGACTTATAGACCCCTCTTTGTAGCACTCACCAAAGGGCCCTCCCCCCAGCAGACATCAATGCTTCAATTCAGGGAGCACTGAACGATGCCTGCTGTGGCCCAGACCCTGGGCTGGGCGTGGGGGGCGCAGATGTATCCTGCTCAGCCTCTGCCCTCAGGGAACTCTCAGAGAAGAAGAGCTTCAGGAACAAAGAAAGCCAGATGAACATTGGCAAGGGCCGGGGGACTGGAGCAGCCAGCCTCCCCAGGGGCAGGGGCACGGTGCAAATCTCCCCCCGCCCCCCGTAAGAGTAAAGAGCAGGTTGTGTTCCATTGCCACTGTGGGCATCTGCCTGGTGGCAGTGTCCTGCCCCATATATATGGGAATCACCCTCAGAGCTCCTATCTGAACACAGCCCCCTGACACATGTGGGTCCAAACTGAGAATATTGTCTCCCCCCTCCCTCTGCAAAAATTTAATGAGCACCTGCCACGTCAGGCACTGGGTCAGGGTCTGTGGGTCATTTAAGGCACATGGTGGCCTTTGAAGTCTCACCACCATTAACCTGGGCAAGTGACTACCCTTTTCTGAATTCTAATTTTCTCCTTTAAAAAATGGGGATGCTAATACCTTACCTCATAGGGTGAGGCTTTGATGAGGTAATGGACTTAAGGTACACAGCTCCCTGCTTTGGCACAAGGCAACTTCCAATGAAAGCTGCTCTCTGAGGGGTCGCCGTTCAATTGGAGGGTGTCATGTCCGTGAGGCAGCATGGTCTAATGAAAAGCCTGGACGTCTGAAGACTGGACTTTGTGTCTCTGTCGCTCCAGCTATCAAGTGATTATTTTTCCTAAGTGTGAAATGGCCCAATAATATACTTAACTCATTGTATGATAAATGAGACAAGTGAACATGGAAGTGCTCTCTAGAACAAAAAGTACTGGCTATGAAATGTACATGGGGGGACGATGACTGTATGGGGAGCACTGGATGAAAAGCCAGTAGACTTGGCTCCAGTTCTGGAATTTCCTCTAATTTGCTGTGTGGTCTGGAGCAGATCCCTTCCCCTCTCTGAGTTTCCTCCTTTTACAAGTAGGCTCAGTGCTCTCTGAGAGCCCTTCATTGGAGACATTGTGATTCTGCCTTTGGTTCATGGAAAATGAGCGGGGTCACCTGCAAGGGCTCCTCGGCGGAGTTCCCAAAAAGGAAGTGAGGGTGAGCGCTGAAGGGTAGTCAGGACTAGCAGCCAGACCACCTGGAAAGCTGCCCCTCCCCCAAGAAACCACCCCAGAATTCTGGCTAGGGACCCCTTGAGGCCCATGGAGTAGATCTTGGGGGTCAACATATCTTCTCTGGGTCCATGAAAATCTGCCTTATTTTCAGACTCTCAGACAAGAATCTCTCACACCCTCTCCAAATGTCAGGGCCAGATCCCAGCCTGGAAAAGAGCTAGCTCTGGCTGAGCTCTTGGGAGCTTTAAGGCTAAGGGGACTGGAGGGCTATTCAGACAGACAGGAAATAGGAATCAGGAGGGAAAACAATGTTGATTTTGAAGCCAGAAGATGTGGATTCCCATGCTGGCTTTGCTCCTCAGCAGCTGCGTAGGCTGGGCAAGCTGCCTTACCTCCCCAGGGCCCAGCATCCTTATCTGTAAAATGGGGCTTCCCCTCAAAGGAGGAAAGTATATGTAGTGATGCCGAGAAAGCTGGGAAGTGAGGTTTGCCTGTGGGATACGGGAGTGGGGGGAGAGGGGTAACACTGCAGAGACCCAGGAGAGTGGAAAAAGGGTGGCTGAGCTGCCGTGCTCTGAAAGGGGTGTGTCAGCCTCCAACAGATGGTCCCTGAGGAGGGATCAGGCTGAGAGGCAGTGACGTGAGCAGTGGTAACCCAATACCCCAGGAGACACCTTACCCAAGCTGCGGGGACAAAGGCCCGTGTTTCTTAGTAGACCTTGGCTCTTGTGGCTTGTCCATACTGAAGCTTTGTAAACAAGCTGCCCTACAGATCTCAGGATCTGGCCACCTGAGCCCTGGATCTAGCTTGCTGACCCGTCCCTCCCACGAGCTTTCATAGGCCTCTTACATTCTTGTCCAGATGTTTGGATGGAGATATCCTTTTCCAGATGTAGCTAGATGAAGCCAGGGACATAGCAGTAGGTTTGACAAATGTTGATCTGGTCTCCCATGCAAGCTTATCTCTTTAAGCAGTTGATGAAAATGATCCAACCTCTAATGCCAAGAGGGTCGTCACATGGGCTGGGACCCTCCCGGTGAGCCACATATGCCCCCATTCCACAAAGGCCTCAGACATAGTTTTTTTTTTTTTTTTTTAATATTTGTTTATTTATTTGGCTGTGTCAGGTCTTAGTTGAGGCACGTGGTATCTTGGTTGAGGCCTGCGGGTTCTTTCGTTGCAGCACACGGGCTTCTCTTTAGCTGTGGCATGCGGGTTTTTCTCTCTCTAGTTGTGTAGTGAGGGCTCCAGGGTACGTGGGCTCTGTAGTTTGCAGCGCATGGGCTCTCTCGTTGAGGCGCACAAGCTCAGTAGTTGTGGCGCACAGGCTTAGTTGCCCCGAGGCGTGTGGGATCCTAGTTACCCGACCAGGGATCGAACCCGCATCCCCTGCATTGGAAAGCGGATTCTTTACCACTGGACCGCCAGGGAAGTCCCAAGACATAGATTTTATGGTCTCACCTCTGTGTTCTCCGGTGATGCCAACGATGAGGGCAGGAGGAGGAACTCAACCACGAGCTCTGTCATGTTACTTGCTGAGTACTGGGTACAGCTGTGAATGGGACAGATATGGTTCATGGCCTCATGGAACTTACAGACTTGATGGAGAGATAAACATTAATCAAATAATCATATAAATATAAAGCAACAAATGGGCACAAATGCTATGAATGCAGGATGCTAGGATAGTGTAAAGCAGGAGGTATCAAGTGGGAGGGGTGATGTCAGAAAAGGCTCCCCTGGAAGTTGACATTTGAGTTGAGATCTGAAAGGTGGTAGAAGTTACTAGGCAAAGGGGCTGGGGCTTGGGGGTGGGGAGAGGGAGTGGACCAGAGAGTTCTGTGCTAGGGGAACAGTATGTGCCACCACGGGAAAGAGGTAGTGCAT